TAGCTCGTTAAGTATTTAATTGGTAAGTTACAATTAAGCATAGTATAGTTTAATATATTGTATGAACACAACTACTTCCTTGGAATAACAAACCTTTAAGGCACCACAGAGTTCCACGGTGTCACAGTCATCCACCACAGTAATTCTGAAATTTGAGGTTTGCATTAATTCTTTGAAGATCTTCCCATTTTTAGCATTTTTAGAACCTAAGAAAAGAATCACAGGAGATTTTAACCGACAATAGAAGAAAACATTTGACAGGATAGAATTATTTCCTGTATGATTTTTCTTTTAAATATATGTATCTTTGTGTCAAAAATATACAGAAAACATTTAAAACAAAGACAATTTCCCTGTGAAAATGAGCTATCAAGTGAAATTTTCCAAGTTGGTCAACAGGCAGTGAAATAAAATGTGAAATAGAAATAGACTTTCTGAGAAAAAAAAACAAGATTATATTATATTCTTAATTGTAAAATGGCACAAAGTCAATTGAACTGTGGTGAAATATTAATATAAAAAAATAAATAATAATAATTATATCATGGAATAATGAAGGATACTAATTATGATTCTTTTAAAAAACATGCATGTTTTCCTTCTGATTGCATTGATTTTATCTCAAGCTTCCTGAAAAGACTCTACAGGCAGTCCTCGATTTACAACGCTTCATTTACTGACCATTCGAAGTTACAACAGCACTGAAAACGGGGACTTATGACCATTTTTCACACTTACGACCGTTGCAGCATCCCCAAGGTCACATGATCAATATTCAGATTCTTGGCAACTGACTCATGTTTATGACAGTTACAGTGTCCTGGGGTCATGTGATCTCCTTTTGCGACCCTCTGACAAGCAGTGAGGAAACCAGATTCACTTAAGAACCGTGTCACTAATTTAACAACTGCAGTGATTCACTTAACAAATGTGATGAGAAAAGTCGTAAAATGGGGCAAAACTCACTTAAACGTCTCACTTACCAACATAAAGTTTGGGCTCAATTGCGGGTTGTAAGTGGAGGACTACCTGTATTTCGAGCAATATATGAACTTTTTTTCTTCTCCTTCTAATAACAGCCCCTGTGTGGTGTCTTATGGCAGCCTTCCTGGGGGAAGGGGGCGTGGGGAGGGGAGGCATGGACATATTTACTGAAAGTATCATAGTGAGAACATGAGGACTAGGCTTCCTGAAGGATAAACTTCCTGCATTTGCAGAAAAAAAAGAACTTCAACTTGATTGTATCTCCTAGAACAGTGATCCCCAACCTTTTTGACGCCGCGGCCCGGTACCGGCATCAGCTGGGCGCCGCGGCCCGGTACCGGCATCACCTGGGCGCCGCCATCTTTTTTTGATGAAAACGTGCTTCCGGTGAGCTTTCTACCCGGAAAAGCTCACCGGAAGCACTTTTTCATGAAAAAAAGATGGCGGCGCCCAGCAAGCCGCGGACCGGTAGGAGTTGTTCCGCGGACCGGTACCGGTCCGCGGACCGGTGGTTGGGGACCCCTGTCCTAGAAGGAAATAAAAGAGACTGGCCAGTTTTTACAGTAGTTGCTGTTTGGTGGGAGAGCAAGATTAAAACTAGTTCAGTGTGCCACTGCAAATACAGGGATGGTGAGGAAAATCTGGATCTGCAGTATGGACTAGCTGCATCACTACAATACACAGATTGGCTTCATAAATAAGCTATTTAGTTTGTCATTCGGTGCCTCCCATTGTTCATGAAAAATGGGTTGAATAAACTAAGATTTAAACAAACCACAGTTAATTTAAGAGTGCCAGATATTACTCAGGACCATTCAGCCATGAATTTTATCTAGTGACATTGACCAATTACTGCCTCCCAACCAGGCTGGGGGTTTATAAAGTGTAGGAAGGAACCACATCCACTACCTTGGGCTTTCTGAGCAAAAAAAAATCAGGGTGCAAATTTAAAAGATGAATGAGAGAATGTGAGAAATGCTGCAATAGCATACAAAGAATAAGAGGACACGAAGTCTTGGCTGCTAAAAATCTACGACTATTATCCAAGATATGATCGGTTTTAAAAACAAAACTGGCTGACTCCATCTGCTAGTAGTGGATTTATTTCCCTAGCGTGAAAGACCAATAATTTATGAGTCAATTACCGATGGTAGTTTCACAGAACATTTCATTTGCCACTTCATTGGCAATGTTGGCACCCATGAGCACGCTCATATCTATCTTCAGTTTCTCTCGGATGATGTCGGTGATGAGTTTCAGTCCTTCAGGGCCTTCGTCTATACCCTACTTAGCAGAAAAGAAAGAGGGGTCAAAGCAAATGCAAGTTGAACTGTGCTGCAATAGATTACAGTGGTTTGTGGAACTGGTTGTTTTCTCTGAAAATTGGGCCAAGGAAGACATAGGGATGACCTTTTTACCTGAGAACCAGTGATGCAACAAACTGGTTTTTTTCCCTTTCTTCCTCCATGGGAGCTGTCTGTCAGCATTTCATTTCAGTTTTATTTAAAATCATGAGAGATGACCAGTCCATTCAAGCTGTAGTATCTGTGTTTCCTGGGTTCGAGGCCATAACTTGCAGTGCAGGAGTTGTTTGCATTGGATTATATAGTGTTAGGCTCAAGCTCAGTGATGACACAGCAAAATCCAATTGAGGCCTATCTTTATTTGCTTATACCCAGTGAACAGAATCTTGCCAACTCAAGCCATAACCTTCAACCCTAATAGATATATCCTGAGAGGTTACAGGGTGTGGCTCCCGTGAACCTCTTCCTCCCTCCCCATCCAGTTTGGCACTGCACAGTCTCTTAAATTTGGGCTTTTCGGTGGAATGGTGCTACAGTGGTCAAAGTGCAGTACTGTAGGCAAACTCTGCCCACAACCTGGAGTTTGACTCAGTCTTCCATCCTTCCAAGGTTGGTAAAATGAATACCCTGATTGTTTGGGGCAATATGCAAAAAAAAAAAAAAAAATGCTATGGGGCAGTATATAAGCTTAAATGTTTTTGCTATTTCTATATATTGCCATCTCTGTGGAAAAGCTCTGTGCTGCCAAGACTTCCCTCCACTGCTTCTCCAGGTACATACTCCATCACAAATAGTAAGGGTAGCCTAAATGAGTACCGCATATGCAAATTGCAAACCTGATGTTAAGAAAGTCAGCTGAGCATGTCTGACATGATGGTACATTGTATTTTCTCATTCGGTTCAGTTGTTAGGTTCTGATTTTCTAATGTTCATTTATTTATTCATTCAATTTCTATAAACACCCACCTCAATTAATGACTCTGGGGGGCTTACAATTCCAAAAGTATAATCACGATAAAAACAATAAAGAACATTTTTACAAAATCAAAACAAAAAAAACTTGCTTTTAAACACATTTTTAAAAGGCGTACAGGTAGTTCTTGACTTTTGACCACAATTGAGTCCAACATTTCCATTGCTAAGCAGTTAAGTGAGTTTAGCCCCATTTTGTGAGCTTTTTTTTGCCATAGTTGTTAAATGAATCACTGCAGTTGTTAAGTGAATCATGCAGTCATTAAGCAAACCTGGTTCCCCCCCCCTTGACTTTGCTTGCTGAAAGCCAGCTGGGAAGGTTACAAACGGTGATTACATGACTCCAGGACAGTATAACTGTCATAAATACATGCCAGTTGCCAAGCAACCAAATTCTGATCCCGTGACTATGGAAATGCTGGAACAGTTGTGTGAAAAATGAGGTCACTTTTTTCAGTACCGTTGTAACATCACAAGGTCACTAAATGAATGGTTCTAAGTTGAGGGCTACCAGTATAACGTAAGATATACACAAACACAGAAATGCAAAATAATGGCTCTGAATTATAGAGGAGATATTTTTACAATCAAAGCTGTCATTGGTTGGTGGGTAACACCAGGCTGATTTTGGATGATCTGGGAAGCAAAATGAGGCTAATCTTGATGTGTCCTTGAAGGAGAAACCACATGGGAATGCCAGGCTGTTGGCTGGGCTGAGAAAATTAAAAACTACCTTGGAGGAAGATAATGCCAAATCCCTCTCTTAACACTCAATAGGAGAGCTTCTTTAACATTTTTTTAGCAGAGGCATAAATTCTTTGCATAGTGGAATATTCCATTTAGCAGCTAATTAATCCGACCTCATATGTCAACCAATACCTCCATGGCAACATATAATCCTATGTACGCTGCTAATTTAATCATGTTTGCCTCATTATGTTTTCTGGAAGTAGGTGAAAGGTCTTCACAAAAACAGAAATTGTATATATGTACACTGAGTAAGAGTGAAAACCAGAGAGAGGAAAAGTGACCTTTGATCAAGGTCTGTGTGATCTGCTGACTGACTCACCACTCAGTTGTTTTTTTTAATCTTAAATTTAAACCAGCCTGGAAAAGTCACTTGAAGCCAATTGTTACTTCAATTCTGAAATACATATGAACCACTGATCTATAATTCAGTATTCAGCAAACAAATTGCTTATGAGACTGTGAACCGAAGTTGAGTTTTAAAATGAATAAAGGGGAATAAACATAGTTTTTAAGATTCCTATTGCAAAGTATGGTATCTTCCTTTCTTAAAAGTATTCCTCTACAATAATGCTTTAAAAAAAAAAGGTTGTACAGAATGCCAAATTTGTACAAATCTGATTGTACAAATCTGTACAATTTTTACTAAAACAGATTAATTTCACACATGGAGTTAAAGCAGAATGTAATTTTTATGGCTTCTAGATTAGAATACTCTATGGACTTAGCCATTGTGATTTTTAAACCGTATATACTTTGGATAAACCATAAGCTCAGTCAAATGTGATTTGTTCCATAAACCATGGTTACATCAACTATGGCTTAATGCAGTATGTAAACTGAGCAATTCTTCATGCGTTTGCATCAGTTCTTAAAATGGGTATGTGTATTTATTTAACTATTTTTTAATCACTGTATACTCCAGCTTTCTCCCAGAAGTAGCATTTAAGGGGGTTAACAATAAAATAACAAAATTATACTGATATTTTAAAATGCATGTCAAATAAGGACCATTATTAAAATACCTTTCCCACTGAAAGAAGAAAACGCCATTCCTTACCTTGATCAGTGAAATCCCAATTGCTCCTGCTTTTATGTGACCAGTAAGTTGCTCGCAAATTTTGGGAATAAACTGATGAGGTACGACAAATATTAAAATATCAGCTTCCTCTGCTGCTTCTACCACTTCTGGTACAGCAACCTGAGAGGAAAAAAGATTACATGTTATGTCTCACCTGTGCCAACGATGTGAGAAGTCCAAATTTCCAAATGAATATAAACAAACAAACAAGTCCAGTAATGACAGGGTTAAATTCCTTGAGCCGGAAAAGTTCTTGGCAGTCTCACACAAGCTGTCTGCCAAGTCCGATAATAAAGCAAGAACATAAATCACAAGCTATCGCCACACACACAGAATCTTTCGAAGCTTCTCTCACAAATTAACATGTTGTCCCGAACAAGTTCTCAGAGCGAACACACCCACTTTTATTCCCTGTGGGGCGTGTCAGTCCCTCAGCTCAGTCTCTGATTTGTCCTTTCTTTCTACGTTGCAACTTACACTTTTGCCTGCGCCGTTGCCTCGCATCAAGCCAGCATTCCTCAGCTTGATCCTCAGTCAGGGGCTCTGATACACTCTCCTGATTATCTGCCGACACCTGAGGCACAATCAGGGAGGAAGGTCCTGCCGAGGAGGAAAGTCCTGGGGAGGAAGGCAATTCCAAATCCTCTAACAAAGCAGGCTCAAACCTCAGAGCCACATCCTCCCCTTCCTCACCGTCCAAGTCTTCGTCCTCTAGCAAAGCAGGCTCAAACCTCAGAGCCAAATCCTTCTCTTCCTCATTGTCCAAGTCCCCAACCTCTGACAAAGCAGGCTCAAACCTCCGAGCCACAACAATTACAGCATTCTCCTACTGAATACTGAATGAGGAAAGCACCCCTGGGAGATGTTTACCACAACAAAACAATCAAGCGCAGAGAACATAGAACAAGCCGTAAATATTTGTTTGCCCAACAGTTTGTGCAAAAGTGAAAAATGCAGGCAGCCGGAACATATGCTTGGCACAATCTAAACATCACATGTACTTATCTTTATTGCGATATTTGCACATGGGTGTTTAAAAGCATGCAGTTTGTACACATAACACCAGGGGTTCCTACAGCAATTGTAATAGGTGACTCAGGTTCCTTAACAAAACAAGAGGCTTGGACCACATATGGTACTTTGAGAACATTCCATACAGAATTCTATTCCTGCCACAAAGAAGGAAGGGCTTCTCTCGCAGTTAACTCAGAGAGAAAAACTGCACAGCTTTACATTGACAATACAGGTAGTCCTCAATTTGCAACGCTTCATTTAGTGACTGCTTGAAGTTACAGCGGCACTGAAAAAAGTGACTTAGGGCTGTTTTTCATTGCAGCATCCCCGTGGTCACGTGATCAAGATTTGGATGCTTGGCAACTGGTTCACATTTATGGACAGTTGCAATGCCCGGTGATCGATCACCTTTTGCGACCTTCTGACAAGCAAAGTCAGTGGGGAAGCGAGATTCACTTAACAACTGTGTTACTATAACTGCACTGATTCGCTTAACAACTGTCACACTGAGCAACATAAATTTTGGGCTCAATTGTGGTCATAGGTCAAAGGGCTACCAGTACAGAATTCTTTAAGGACAGGCAGATTTAAATTTCACCAAAGAAAATGGCTTGAAACACTTTGGTCTAGTGTTCTGTTATGTGCAATGCGGTCTGCAACAAAATGGGAGAAAGGAACATAGGCCTTGCCCTGGAGTGGTATTACTGCACCTCTTTACAATATGAAGAGCGGTTGCAAGAGCTGGGTATGTCTAGTCTAATGAAAAGAAGAACTAGAGGAGAAATGATAGCAGTGTCTCGATATCTCAGGGGCTGCCACAAAGAAGAGGGAGTCAAACTATTCTCCCAAGCACCTGAGGGAAGGACAAGAAGCAATGGGTGGAAACTAGTCAAGGAGAGAAGCAACTTAGAACTAAGGAGACATTTCCTGACAGAACAACTTGCCTCCAGAAGTTGTAAATGCTCCAACACTGGAAGTTTTTAAAAAGATGTTGGATAACCATTTATCTGAAGTGGTGTAGGGTTTCCTGCCTAGGCAGGGGGTTTGACTAGAAGACCTCCAAGGTCCCTTCCAACTCTATTATTCTATTCCTATTCTATTCTATTCTTCTATTCCTATTCTACTTTATTCTATTCTATTCCTATTCCTATTCTATTCTAGTATGTGCCTATGTCCCGATGGGGCATCATGTGCATGGCATATAAGTTACGGTGCTTTATCTTGGTTCTTTCTTCCCAGCAGAAAACAGGCCTGTTTTTTGGCCATTAATTGCCAATTCCACAATTTGGGGTGGGGGGCAGGTTAAATGAGTCTGGTTATGTCTTTCATTCCACTTTTGGAATTAAAAATGAAGTGCGGTTTTTTTGGGGGGGGGAATCTCACACTTATATCATTTCTTTTTGCAATGTTAATTTTTATAGGTACAGGTAGTCCTTGACTTATGACCACAACTGGGCCAGTATTTCCACTGTTAAGCAAAGGAATTGTTACGTGAGTTGCACCTGATTTTATGATTTTTGCACGGTTGTTAAGTGAATCACTGCCGTCGTTAAGTGCGTCACACAGTCGTTCAGCAAATCCAATTTCCCCTGCTGACTTTGCTTGTTGGAAGCCAGTTGGGAAGGTCACGAATGGCAATCCTGTGACCCTGGGACATGGCAACCATCACAAATACATATGCCAATTGCCAAGCTCCCAATTTTTCATCATGTGACTATGGGAATACTCAATGCTTATGAGTGCAAGGACCAGCTATAAATCACTTTTTTCCAATGCCGCTGTAACTTCAAATGGCCAGTAAACAGGTGGCTGTAAGCAAAGAGAATATGATGGTGTTTTTGATTTTAATATGCACTGCTTAGAGCAGGGGGGTCAAACTCAAGGCCCATGGTCTGGATCCGACCCATGGGTTGCTTAGATCTGGGCTGTGGGGCTGCCCTAGAAACAGCGAAGGACTGGCCCATGGTGCCCCTGCTAGCAAAAATGGAGCTTGGGAGAGCCACACACAGCCCTTCCCAGCTCTGTTTTTGCTGACAGAGTGCTAGCAAAACAAACAAAAGTGACATTTGATCACAAGGCAAAGAGGCATTGAGAAATGTTTCCCCTTTGGCATTTGAGCATCCAAGAAGGGACAAGTAAGGAGAAAGGGAAAGAGGAAAGACAAAGAAAAAGATGGGAAGAGAGCAAGGAAGGAAAAAGAAGGAAAGAGGGGAAGGAAAAAGAAGGAAAGAGGGGAAAGAAGAAGGTAGGTAGGTAGGTAGGTAGGAAGGAAGGAAGGAAGGAAGGAAGGAAGGAAGATAGATTATAATGCGAGGAAAGGAAGGTTAATGGATTCCCCCCAGCCCTGCCCGAGCCACCACAGGTGCCCCCAACATGAGCAATGTCGAGCTGGCCATGCGCCGCCCCCTCAAGGTCAAAAACAACTCTGATGTGGCCCTCAATGAAATCGAGTTTGATACCCCTGACTATTGTGAAATGGGTAGCTATATACTGTAAATTGTTTAAAGTAATGAGATAAAATAACATGCTGATAAGAGATCAGATGCAGGATGCTGCAACTGAACATACATTATGACAACAATGAATAATTAAAGTGCTATTTTATTTTATATGGCACACTCTGCTTGGAATTTTTAAAAAATTTCTGGCAATCAAGTTAAGTCAATTGGCCCCATGGACCACATCTCATCTATATCCTGTATGTTTCAATGTCACATTATGAATTTGGGAGCTGTAATTTGTTCTTGCCTAAGTTACTTATTTGTTCTACTTTCTTTGAACTTAACTGGAATATAATTTGAATCTGAAACCATTCTGTTATGTTTTGCTGTCACTTACCACGTTTGGAGGTATTTTATGCCCTGGGAGATATTTCACATTTTCATGTTCTTGGTTAATGATCTCGGTGAGTTTTCGACCATTGATTAGTTCTTCAAATACCCACATCTTGACAACTGGGTCAAACCGGTTGGAGCTTTTGGTATTTTGGCCTAAGATTTTTGCAATGGCAGATCCCCTTAAAAAAGAGAGAGAGAAATGTCAAATTGCAACTATTTATATGGTTCATAGAAAAAGCATACTTTCTTACAAGTTAATTGACTGCATTAAATAAAAGAAAAAGTATATATATGCAACTCCAACAATATGATGTACTTTCAAAATAGAAAAGAAAGAAAAAAGAAAGAAAAAGTAGTGTTTTCCAACTTTTTTCAGCGCATTAGAATAAACAAAAGTTACAATCTCAACCTTTTTCTTTACACTTCTAAATATCCCAAGCATCTCAGGAAGGAAGGAAGGAAAGAAGAAAGAAAGAAGGAAGGCTTAGAAATTACCCTTGGAATGTTTGAATTTCAATTTTGCATTGAGCAGGTTTTGCATTCTATGTCCTTAATTGCTCCCTCTAGCTCTAGGATTCTAAGAAACCTTATTGTTACTCAGTTTTTATGAATGTAGAGTCACTTTGCATAATGAGATGGGCAACATAGCAATTTAATAATTAAATAAATAAATAATTATGAAGGAGACCCAAGCTTCTATTCATTAACGTTTTCTATAAAGCATCTATACTATAGACTAGAGGTCTCCAACCCCCAGTCTGTGGACCAGCACTGGGCTGCGGCATGCCAGTAACCAGGCTGTGCAAATAAACAAAATGCCATCTGCAGGATGCAGGCAGCACACAAAATCACACCCCCTCTGGTCCATGGAAAAACAGGTCCTTGGTGCCCAAAAGATTTGGGGGCGCTGCTCTAGACTATCAACTCTGTTTGTCCAGTTTTCTAATTCTAATTCTAATTTTCCATTGCGAATAGAACAGAACAGAACAGAATAGAATTCTTTATTGGCCAAGTGTGGTTGGACACACAAGGAATTTGTCTTGGTGCAAATACTCTCAGTATACATAAAAGAAAAGATACATTCATCAAGAATCATAACGTAGAAACGCTTAATGATAGTCATAGGGTACAATAAGCAATCAAATCATTCTAGGAAACAGTCCATATAGATCGTAAGGATACAAGTGACAAAGTTACAGTCATACAGTCACAAGTGGGAGGGGATGGGCGATAAGGAGCAATGAGAAGATTAATAGTAATAGTAGTGCAGACTTTGTAAATAGTTGGACAGTGTTGAGGGAATTATTTGTTTAGCAGAGTGATGGCTTTCGGGGAAAAACTGTCCTTGTGTCTAGTTGTTCTGGTGTGCAGTGCTGCTCATGTCTGCTGTACTATAGTAGATCATACCAAGAATCACTTTGAGCCAAACTCAATTGGAAAATTTTGCATGATTTATTCAATAACTTTTAGGTGAACTAATATTCACATGCTTTACAGGTGTATATGTTAAAGAAGGAATAAAACAATACCAACTGATGGAATTGCTATATGAAGCTTAACAAATTTACCAAGAAAACTATCACAAAAAACTGAGAAGAATAATTGCTGTTATAGAAAGCTAATATTGTATACATTTCACATGTCTTTAAAGCTGGGGTTTTTTTTGGTGACTCATAAAAGTTTATTTTAGAAAATGTAGATAATCGTGTATTTTATGTGGTTAATACTTTAAGGGGGCAAAGCAGATAGGAAGAATTCAGGACATATACTGCAAAGTTCAGCTAAGGAAAGGCAAATTTATCAGAGTTAGATCTCTTTCTTTTGTCTCTCTGCCAGATTGAGCAATGTAACAAATTGAGCAATTTGTTAATTAGTTGTAACCTACCAATTGAACTTTGTAACATATATGATAACTTGCTTTATCTATTAAAACAAGGCGGACAACTCTATTGAACTGAGAGGGACCAACTCCAAGGTCATGCCTCACCTTCTGATCTAGAGAACATTGAGGAGGAGGAGGACTTATTAAATGAATGATATCACTCCCTACTTTGAAACAGAGATGTTCTAAACCAGAGGTCTCCAACCTTGGCAACTTTAAGACTTGTGGATTTCAACGCAGTGGTGGGATTCAAATTTTTTTTACTACCAGTTCTGTGGGCGTGGCTTGGTGGGTGTGGCAGGGGAAGGATACTATAAAATCTCCAGTCAGAGGTGGTATTTGCCGGTTCTCCGAACTACTCAAAATTTCCGCTACCGGTTCTCCAGAACTGGTCAGAACCTGCTGAATAGCACCTCTGCTTCAACTCCCAGAATTCCTCAGCCAGCTTTGCTGTAGAATCTAAATTCCATTATAAAGATTTAATATTGAGGATGTGGCCCCTAATCTTCTAGTCTAATCTATCTTACTATTGGACTATCTGGTCTCAGGGTTTACAAGAGAGGTTGTCTCCATTCATCAAAATTCTTGTCCTTTTTCAAGACCAGGGGTTTCGTATGACGAGGACTACTTGTGTATCCTACAATACAATTGTATGGAATCCTTGCTATGCCTCTTTCTTGACCTGTCTCAAAGGGTTGACCCATTTATTTTTTTTAACGTTAAAAAACAACAACAAAAGTCCCAGCCAAAATGCCAAATGCACCCACCAACCCAAAAAGGATTGAGGACTTCTGTTTGAGTCTTTCCCTGACCTTAGAAACCAGCCTGAATTTTAGGTTGCCTGATGAACTTGAATTCTTTAGGCTGACTTTGCAGCGGACATAAAAGAAACATAAAATTTGTTCTCTTCAACCAATCAATAGCCATAAGTCATAGAACTCTCCACATTCAAAAGGTAGCAGAGCATCTTCAGTTAACTGGATTTTGGAAGAAAACCCATGATTTGTGCTTATTAGCATTATAATCTGGTGATAAAATGTTCAGGCCATTTATGCCTTCGGGGCTGAGAACCAGATTATCTTTACATTTATTTCTTGGAATGTCTTAACTGAGCCATCGAAGAACCTCGAGTAACAGTCACACAAATATTTGGCTGGTGCATTATGTCATCAGATGCATGTACCAAAGGGGTAAAGTTTGAATTGCAATAATGCAACCCTAGCGTTGTCACTTTGATTACAGGTTCCAATCTGCAAATGATGTTGCCAAGCAAATTACTGTAGAAGAAATGCCATGTAAGCTACTTTTTTCTCCTGGAGAAAATATAAGGCATAGCTCTAATAAATAACAGCCTGAGACAGAAATGGGGAAGGATTTTCAACTTTGCGATTTTAAACATATCCTTTGAGGGTCCCCCCCCCCCCCCAAGACATCCAAAGTAGATCTTTTTTAAAAAAAAAATGCAGTTTTAGAATCAAGCTTCCATCTGGATTAAGATTTAATAGAGGTAACTTCTGTAAATATTTTTTTTCTTTATACCACTTTTGATGCAAATGCTTTAATATTTATTTATCTGTTAGCACAGGAAGAACTGCTTGGAAAAATGTGAGGGATTAAATCAAGAAGTAGAGGAAGCCAGAGCAGAAACCTTCTTTTGATTTCATTGAGTGTATTTAAATACATTGAATTAATTATACTTAATATTGTGGTGTTTGTAAGCATCTCCGACTTTATTGCAAATCCTTGATTTAGGGACAACTCCTGGAGGGATCCTGTGGCATCTCAGCCAGGACTATCCAGGATGACAATCCTGAAAGTTTCCATCATTAAAATTATGTGAATCTAAGAGCCCCCCCCCACACCTTTCCACCAGGTTTCTGTGAAAAGGAAGATGGGTTGCTTTAATTAATATAAGGGGGTGCAAAGTTTGCAGAACATCTGAATAGCTTCTTTGGCGTTATTCTCAAAGCATTCAAGCCAGGAATTTAACACTTCTCTCGTCTATATGTCCCTTGTACATTCTGTTTCTCATCAGCACATCTTATAAACTAGACACTGATGCCAACAGAAACTTGGCAAGGAAATAACTTTCTCCCTCTTACTTTTTCCCCCCTCTTCAAATTGACACCCATCACTGCTTTACATATATGTGGCTTTAGATACTCAGTGCTGATTTAACTGGATAAGTCTAATCCCATTATGTTTCAAGTTGTCCTCCTCTGAGAAGAAACATCTATACATATGACAATAATGAAAAGGCAATCCAGGAATCGGGAATTCTGGAGCATAGTAATTGGGGATGATGATGATGATGCAAAACCAATGAAGGGGGGGGGAAGCATCTTATAGATGGATACTTCTCAGTGTTAGACTGAATTTCCCCAACTTGCACAATGATAACAGAGGAGGAATTAATGAAGTAAGAAATGGATCTCTCCAAAAATTTGCCCAATTTCTTTTTTTATATTTTAACTCATTGTATGCACTCCGTGGAAAAAATGACCCTGAATTTCAGGCAACCAGCTCCAATGATTATCAGAGAGAAAGAAAAAAAAAATCTGCCTTGATTATTGCATTCCTCGCTATTCTAAGACAATTCTCCTATTTAAAAATAAATCATTTAGGGAACAAACTAGTTTTTCCTTCAGTTAAATTTAGTATATTTCTTGATTAAGAGGTATCTTGCCATGGGTGTCCACAGTGTATTGTCAAAAAAAATCAAGATGGCAGCCACAGTATCTTTGAGGAATTCTGGGCATAAAAACAGGTTAAGATTTGATTGTACTGTTATGGCTGCCATCTTGTCTTTTCTGACCATATTTGAAAAGACCTCTGTACCCAGTTAGTTCATAATATATCTCTAACTTTTGGCTTTCAAAAGTTAATCTCCTGATCTAGTTCTTTCCAATAGCAGTAACTGTTTCTCAACAAAGGCTGTTATGTCTCAAATGAAACTGGGCAGATTCAAGGATTTCTTACCCAAGCATATTTGTAGTGTCATTATCAAAGCTCTATCACTTGCAATAGGTAAAATTTGTAACCTCTTCTTCAAAAAATGCAGGATTTCTTTTGTGAGGGAGAAACAGCTTTCAAATGAAGCAACATAATTTTCATTGCGCTGTTACTACAATATAGGTAGTCCTCAGATTACAACAGTTCATTTAGTGACTGTTCGAAGTTCACATCACTGAAAAAAGTGACGTGTGACCATTTTTCTCACTTATTGCAGCATCCCCTTGGTCACGTGATCAGAATTTGGATGCTTGCCATTGGTTCATATCTAGGGCAGTTGCAGTGTCCCCGGGTCATGTGA